GAGCCGGCGTTCATTAATGATACCCGCTTCCCCGCCACGGGTGATCCAAAGCCGAGAAGAGGCTCAACAAGGTGACCCGTCAAGCATGCTCCTTTTTTCCCTTTCCGCCCATGAACTCTTGCGCGACCTCGCGGAAGTTTGTAGCCTCCCATTGGTGGCAGCCTACGCCGACGACGTCACGCTAGCCGGACCACTCTCTCAAGTCCTCACGGCTGTTAGATTTCTACACGCAGCAGGAACCCGGCACCAATTCTACATCAATTTAGAGAAGACGCCCGTCTTCGTGCCCTCAGCCCATGCCGCCACACTGGCAGGTTTGTCACCCATATTCTCCCCTCAACACATCTCCGCGGACGGAATTGACCTCCTCGGCTCCCCGATAAGCACTCCGGAGTATATAGAGGAACACATGTCCAAAAAACTTGCAACGCCACTCTGGACCTTCTACAAGCCGTTCCGGACGCCCGCATCAAGTTCCACCTCCACCGAATGTGCGCATCTGCCTGTCGTGTTCAACATCTGGTCCGACTCATTCCCCACGTCTTTCGCTCCCCTTTGCCACCCAATTCGACGAACACCAACACAGGGCCTACTCCAACATGAATAATATCCCCTTGTCCACTGCAGTCATCCAACAAGTCAGCCTCCCTTTCCGCTTCGGCGGCCACGGATTCATCGCTCTCACCCCGCTCGTGCACGCATCATACGTAGCCAGTCTCATCTCCTCAGCTCCACACCGCCTCCAAGGCCGTCAAGGCCTCCCCGTTTCGCAATACCTCGGCCTTGCTCGTACACACCTCCGTTCCCTGATGCGCCAACTCCCACCAGTTGACCGCCTACCCACCTACCCAATTACCCGCTCTACTATGGCCAAATATGACCTTGGCCAATACGAACCGGACGCACTTGCACAGCGGCCTGAAGGTACTCACCACTTCTTGTTTCAGGCTATTCACTCAGCCGCTTCACGCCGGTTTTGGCAACAAGACTACTGGATCACCCGCCCCAACCCAACAGAACACACCCCGATATCAGTTCGTCACCGTGTGCGCTACCATTCCCTTTTATCGGCCGGCGCTTCCACTTTCCTTACAGCACACCCTTCTCTAATCACTCGAGTGCACTCTGCGCAGTGGTCAGTAATGATCCGCCGACATCTAAACGTCCCTGTCTACAGCCATTCAATCATCCTGCTTCGCTGCTCGCACTGCTCACGTCACATGGACGCCCGGGGAGATCACGCTACACACTGCCCAAAAGGTTTCGGCATGATCCATCGTCACAACACACTATGCAACCAACTGGCTACACACGCTTTTCGAGCCGCCGGCCTTGCCTGCTCCCTTGAAGTACCATTCCTGATCCCCAACACCAACCATCGCCCGGCAGATATACTGGTGCAACCAGGTGCTCCCCCTCCAGTAATGCCTCCTGGTAAGCCTACCGCATACGACGTGACCATACGCACCCCATTCACCACAACAAATATCCGCCAAGCCGCACAACGTCCCGCAGCAGCCGCGGAAGCCGGGGACCTCTCGAAACGCTAGTCCCTACACCGCACACTCCGCGAAGCACTGCAACTTCCAAATGACTTGGAGATCCCCGCCCTCGACTGGCACTTCGCTCTTCATTCCTTTGACACGCTAGGAGCTTGCTCCGCCAACACGATTAATACCATCGAAGCCCTTGCCCTCAAGATTTCCTACTGCAGCCATTGTGCATATGGCACCGTGAAGTTGCGTCTACAACAACGCATTAGCTACGCTATCTGGTCATCAATTGCCACTGCCATTCTAGCCCATATGCCATCCCACATCACAGACTTAACATGTCTAGTCCAAGCGTGACACTTTTCCCTAGATATCTGTCAATATCCCGACAGTTTTTTCATGCATACGAAATATCGTATACAGAACTTTGAAGTGTCATAACTGAGCCGCATCGCCATCCTCGGTGCTGTGCTTCAAGCTATGCCCTCCTTGGATGGCAACAAAAGGCCCTATAGCATTACTTTTAAAGAAAATATCGTGTATCGAAGGCCTCTGGAGGGCATATTGGACATCCGTATTGACCCCAAAACTAGCCTTGTATACGATAATTCGTATATAAGGATTGTCTGTTGTGATGGCAAAGATTGGAAAAAGAGAAGTCCCCATCCATTTCGTTAGGCTCAGATTACTTCTATTTGCTACCGTTGCCTTTAATCTTCATTAGAAAGCGCAATCAAGGACTCACATCTATCTAAACAGGCCAATTGAAGCACATGTTTATCAATTGAAAAGTCTTTTCATCTATTGTTGGTGATGCAAGCGCAATAAACACTGTTCTACGTACGTCTCCTCCTCTTCCTGAGGCTAGTCCTCGCTGACGCTGTGGCTTCCCGGTTTTCATTCTCACTGGGAGGGAGTGAATCAACGTTTAGGCTCGGAATCTCAGGGCGCCTGGCTTCACTCTGATCAGGTGTAGTAGAATGCCGAGACGAATTACCAAACCTGTTTTTGTGGGGACTCGTCGCACGAGGGGTAAGAGTCATTGTATTATGCCAAATATTCCAGCAACTCCCTCTCTGTCCTGTATGCGTCTTTGTACATAAATGTACATGACATGTCCCGCGCTTAATACCAGTCCGCCTTCCACGCCATTTGTCCTCATTATGCTTCACATTTCCACACAAAGCACACCACACGTCTTTCCCTGTAGAGCAAGGCGGGTGCTCTTGCACATTAATTCTAAGCTTTCGTCCGCTTTGATGATTGAACCACAACAAACGACACCGCTTCCTCAATAAAGCTTTTCGGGACAACTCCTTCGCGTCTTCATCCCCTATAACTACTGTGACAGTGCCACTGTGATCACCTTTCTCTCCATTTTGTTCGTTCTTTTGTAGGTTGTCTGCATGTTGTAGTAGATCCCCAGATACATCAGCAATAAAATCTGCCAACGACTGGCATCGGTTGAGAGCGTCTCTAAATTTATCAAGACCACCAAAAGACGAAGCAGAACAGAGCAAAACCTTGCACCCCAACATTCGCCAAGCAAGAAAAGCATTGACCCCAACCGTCTTCAGAACTTGGGTAACGATTTTTTGCTCCCACTTTAAACTTTGGGTAGAAGCACGCATGTTCGCCCTATACTGCGTTGCCCCATCAATACCTCCTATTTGACTGCCATTCGCACTCCTTAATCTGCCGCCTCCACGCCCTCGTCTCGCTCCTCTTCCACGACCTCTACCTCCACGCCTAACCCCCCTTCCCTCACCAGCAGTTGGAACCCTTTGTCTTTGAACGTCTGTATCAGCGCTTAGGGAGCCTCCTCTTGGCCCGTGCTCTCTCCCTTCACTCACAGCTACGACTGGAGCTGCATCTTCACTGACTTCGGCCATGCCGGTTGAAATGGATTCGATGTCGAATTGTAATCCCGAACATGTGCACGATCGAGCCTACAACTCGATGCTGACGTCAACTCGCCGGCCTTTGAACTCAAGACAGGCACTTTACAGCACGTTTTACAACTTACAGTTGACGGAAGCAGCCAAGACAAGCGAGCGGAAAGACAACTTGGGCTTTCTCTAGTCCCTTTTCAGGGCGTTGTATACGATTTTGCGTACATAACGATAAGGGGTATCATTTTCAGAAATCTCCTACCATACGAATTTTCGTATTTAAGAATAGTAGGGATATGAGATAGCATTCCCAACAATAGTCATTGAATAAAGCATTTACGTATAGTACGCTTCGTCCTGGGGGTTTGGAGGGAAGCCCTTTCGTGTGACCAATGAGCCTTGAACAACTGGATTGTCTAGGGTATCAAATTACGAAGAAACGGAACTTAATTCTTGATATTTGGCTCGGAACCAAAAATTTGCTGATTTGGTCGGACCGGTGGGGATGTCAATCCACATCAAATCATCAAATTTTAGTTGTTTGGGTATTTGATTTTACCGGTGGTGATGCTCTAAGAGCATCCCCACCGGTGGAATCAAATAACCATGCTCTTAGAGCATCCTCACCGGTAGAATCAAATAACCATGCTCTTAGTGCTCTAAGAGCATCCCCACCGGTGGAATCAAATAACCATGCTCTTAGAGCATCCTCACCGGTAGAATCAAATAACCATGCTCTTAGAGCATCACCACCGGTAGAATGAAATAACCAAATAACCAAAATTTGATGATTTGATGTCGATTGAAACCCACCGGTGCAACCAAATCATCAAATTTTTGGTGTCGATCTAAAAATCGAAATCAAATATGAGGAATTTGGTTCGGATAGTTTCTGTTTGATTACTCTTGACAATCCAGTTGTGCACGTTGTATTGGTCGACAGAAACGGCTTCCCACCAAAAAATACACCGATGCGGTATTTTCCTCTAAATTACAACAGTCTCCCGCCATCTTTCCCGCCCATATCGCGAAAGCCAGCACTGCCAATTTGGGCCACGCTATTCCGACGCCAGGGAAAGAGCGCCCAGGAGAGCGTCCCGGTGAGAACAGGACGAAACCGCTGCACTGTGCATAAATGAGTTCGATTTTATCAGGCTCAATTCCGTCCTCCTCAGAATAGCTGCTGCCTTCATGGGCACCACCACCTTTAAGCTCAGTCCATTGATTTCGCAGTCCCTCAACGATACCCCCAGGACGCGAGGATCCAACTTCACATCAGAAGAAGACATTTTCGTTGGCCGGGCATGGATAAGGGTTTCAGAAGACCCAGTCACAGGGTCCGAACAAAAAGGCGCTCGCTTTTATGACCGTATGTGTGACCACTATCACACCTTCAACGCCCCTGGCTTTGAAAAAAGAACAATGGAAAGCATTCGGACAGGGTCAAAATTAATAAACAAGGAATGTGTGAAGTTTGGTTCATGCTTCGTTGCGGTTCGGAGATCAAAACCGACGGGGGTCTCAGAAGAAGACATGATCAGGATGGCTACAGAATTTTTCAACGACGTACAGATACAGCACCCAAACGACCACGTAGGTAGAAAGTTCAAGTTTTTGCCAGTTTGGAAACTGCTTCGATCACACGAAAAATTTAGTGGAGGGGGCCATGGATCCATGCCCGGCGGAACGCAGACTGCAAGTGATGGCTTAATAGCCGGAGAAAAGGACCCATTTATTTGTGCGGAAAGTTCGCCGGATGGTGACGAAGTGACAAGTACCAGAAAGCGTCCTGCAGGGAGGAAAAATTCGAAAGAAGTGGAACTGATGCAGGCAAGCAGATCAAAGAAACTACGTTTGCCATCGGAATCCGTTCGAGATCAAGGGGAACGTAATGCTGCTTTGCAGCAGTATAATGAGATTCTGCTATTTAGTTCAGCCCCTGATGGCTGCGATGAAGGAGATGCGGTAGCGTATTTCAACCTTCTGCGTAGTGAAGCACTTAAAAAAGCGCGCGCACGACTCAGAGATAACAATACTGCACAGGATGCCACTGATGATCAAACGTTCACTAATGGGAGACAACACGCTCCGCAGCGGTCTTTTGTAAGTATGTTCCCGGAGGCAGACGTAGAGAAGGAGATATCTTCATCTGATAGGTAGAACATTAATAAACCTCGGTTGGGATGCGAAATTGGCATTCCACACTTTTTGAAGTCCAGTATGATTGCTTCCTCGAAGGTTAAGCTGCAGTAGCCATCGTCTTGTATTCGAAGACAGGACAATAGTGACTGCGAATTGAGCGTGTTGAAGTAATTCATTGCGATCACGATGAATTACCCGAACACGCTTCTTTGAAGCAGGCTACCATCGAGAGCGTCCGGCACGCTGCACTTCGCCTTTGGCGGGGGCAGCGTGGACAAGTTCCAACCATACACTAAAAAGACGTACACATAGCCAGGCTTTTACAAGCCCAGACCGTGTGCAGAACGCAGTCATCGCCTGGCTGCCTCCTCGCGAGGACTGGCCGTGAAGCAACCCAGATTCTGCTGGCATGGAGCAATTCATGGCTTCGACTAGCGCAATGGATGTGAGTGGGCGAACGTACAATACTGTACAAACACACGCACAGGCTTGTTTGCATGGATATTATATCAGATGGTCTACACTACAACGCCTCTACTGTCGGCCCCTTCACACCGGTGAGATGGGTCGGCTACACATGATTTATTCAGAGAAAGACATGAAGACGCATGAATTGGAACCGGATACGTAGAAATGCGGGACCGGAAAGAAGATCATAATATGTTTTAACCAGTGCCCTCTCTCCGTTTCGACATTCTGTTCCTCGCCATGAAGCGTGAAGAACGTCGAACCTTGTCCTCCTAGTCGAGCAGCACCGGCTTATTCTTCGAAACAAGACACGTGCTGTGTATTTGGAACCGCGTTCCCCGTGTCAAACCTTGGTCATGTCGCGCACGGTGGGGGCATTGCCACACCTTCATACGGGGTGCAGAATGACCAAAAAAGGGGTGCGGCTGTGTACCGTCCGCTTGCAGGAAGGAAACCATTTTGTCCATTTTGAGACCCGACGAACGTGCCCGTCGCAAGGTGCAGTTTCAGAATTGGATGTGTGCGTGTGAGTTGCAACTTTGGCACTGCTATTTGCCGTCGGTTTGTTGCAAGGATAGTTTTTCTCTTCTGTCCAATGTCAGAAAATGATTATTCGCTCAAGTGAGTTTTCGGTGGAAGGCTTGGTGGGGACCCGGTCCCCATCCAGGCGGTCCGCCTGGATGTCTTTGCGATGGCATCCGGAATGAATTTTCTGTATGAACTGGTAGAGCACAGCAGTGTGGTTTAATCGAAGCAACCATGCAGCCGGGATCATTCAACGTTTGTCAGGAGTCACGCGAAGGCTGCCCTGCCTTCATAATAGAGAAGGTGAGCGGTCCAAGGTGTGAAGTCTCGCCGTCCTAAGTGAGCTGCTCGTTTGATATAGTCGTCCCCCTTTCGAAGATGATACAGCCAACTTGCAAGGCAGTTTATCGCGCAATACGTTTTCGAGGAGGACAGAAGAGTACACTGCCTGATGGGATGAAGAGTGATATTCCGGGGATCCTGAAACAACACGGATTGTGTCATGGAGATCATGTGCAAGGGCAGAGCGGACGCAACACGCACTTTGCGGGAAGGAATTGTCTATTTCTGCAGTAGAAATAAGCAGGAAACCGGTCCGAAACAGCAGATGGAAACCGGTTGCAGGGAGGAAAGGTGATGTGCAAATGCGTTGTATGTCGGGTACTGAGGGCGCCGGAAGAGTGGCTGGTCAGTAGCCGTAGCTACGGATGGACCAAACGGTACCTTCACACTGGAGAGTCCATGAAGAAAGGTAGACCAGCAGTTTGTCGGACATTGGAAATATGAGTTGTGAATGTCTGGGAAGGGCGGGAAAGTACAGCGTCGGTCGTGGTACACGTGTGGAAGTTTAATCAAGTCGATGGTTGGAGCGTTGGCATGCGCGGGGTACAAGGGGAGGCAGCAGACGAAGGGTCAAAGACCTGGAAGTGTGGATGGGCATGTCGTCAGTTTCTGCATCTTAAGCAGAAACCAGCACGAGAGAAACCACCGGACGCAATCATAAGGCTGAGCGGGACAGAACACTTGACCAAAGGATGTTACTGACCAAGGGATGTTACTGTACAAAGGGGAGTTGCTTAGGGAGGAAAGGGTGGAGGACGCCTTCCAGAACGTTGTGCTCATGAGAGACTAGCGATATGGTGGGTGAGGTGTGCAGAGAAAAGACGTCTCCGTGCGACTGATGTTGAAAATGGCGTGCTTTGTTCCGGGTGCTACTCGAATGCCTCATCGAGATCCTCTTTTCTAACGTCACAAGGCAATTCTGTACGCAACGGCGTGAGATACAAGCACTGTGCTCTGTTTCGGCACGGGTGCAATGACGCAAGGTGAAGGCTGATGCTTGAAGGTGTTGTGAGGGGGAGCGGCAGCGGCGGACGCAGGGTTCCTGGCCGGGGTGGTAAGGCATTACATTTCCGCCTAGGTTCATTATGCAGCTCGCAACCGTGGCAGATACGGTAATGCAATACCCCGTTTTCCAACACTAATGTTACTCCCGTACATTGCTACGGCTCTTTTTGCAGAATGCAAGAAGCCAACCGTGTGGCTCATAGATTTACGGAGGGATAAAGAGGCTTGGGATATAGGGAGTAATGATGTGTCGGCTAGCGCAGGCAACTAATATACTGCGATGAAAGGTTTCGATTTTACTCGTATCGCCGGTGACGGCATGTCTTTACCTAGGTATATCAATTAAAGAACTTTTACCAGGATGGGGTACTGAAGTCCCGACGGAATGACTCGGATAAGTCGTGGAGTCACAGCACCACCTGATACTTAGAACCCAAATTTCTTAGCCGGAGGCTTAAAATATTTATAGGCAACCCTCTCGCTACCACCGATGGTCAATTATCAACGCCCTAGTCCTCATATATCCTTGGTGGTCTTTCGTTTTTGCAGATGTGGCGTAAAGGGCCGAAAAGCTTCCAACCGGGGCAGTCGCAGGTCCCACCGTGTTTCCTTGCTCACCCCATAAAGGGGTAGCATCATTCCCTATTACAACTCTAGAGAATGGTTGTTCGCGAAAATGGGGGTCATTGTCGTCCTGTCTGTCCTCAGCGCACATGTTATGGAGTATGATACAACAATTCATTACGTCATGCATGAATGACGTACCCCAAAACCGTCCAGGACGAGAAATAATGTTCCATTTCGACTTCAAAACACCAAACTCTCGCTCCACATCCTTACGAGCAGCTTCTTGGTGTCTCGTCATACACTTTTCTTTCTCTGTTAATGGTTCAGCTACGGTATGTACAAAAACCGGCCACTTAGGATAGATCCCGTCCGCTAACCAGTAGGGGACATTTCGCTTGACGCCCATTATACTGTACTCGACAGGAGGGGGATAGTTTCCATTTGCGATGTTATTTAGCAAAAGGGATGCCTCAAGTACGTTTATATTGTTATTACAGCCAGGCATCCCAAAAAAGGCATGCCAAATCCAGAGAGCCTGATCAGCAATTGCCTCTGGAGTGACAGAGGTAACTCCCTCTTTTCCTTGATATGGGCCGTGCCACGCGGTGGGGAAATTCTTCCACACCCATTTACAGCAGTCGATGCTTCCAGGCATCCCCGGGAACCCCCGTTTTTCTGAAAGAGCAAGGATCCGCACCATATCATCACTAGTGGGGTGCCGCATATACGTAGGACTGTATGCGGCAATTATTCCTCTGGTAAAATGTTGTAAGGTTTTTGAGACTGTAGACCCCCTCATACGGACGTACTCGTCCATAGAGTCTGCAGCGGATCCGTATGAAAGCATGCGAAGAGCTGCTGTGCCTTTTTGATAGCTTGATAAGCCTAGCATTCCGGTGCAGCCCTTCCGTTGAACAAAATATCTATCATGCGTCGCAAGGGTGTCCATGATATTTTCGAACCCTTTGTCGAGTTATGCGGAACCGTCTTTGGAAAACGTCATCATTGTACACAGGATTTTCGGTAAAGTAGTATCGGTGGAGCCTTTCGGCGCCACTTTGTCGATCGCGGTCTATGTTAGGGGCTTTTCCAGGTCGAGAGCCTCCGGCGGGATTGTCTTCGTCACTGCTGCTTTCAGAGAGAAGCCGATTTGTAGTTTCAATGTCGTAGTTGTCAAATGCGTGTTCCCGCCATGTGAATGACATTGACATTCTCGAGGCTGATAAGGGAGGGTTGAGTGAGCGCCTGACTGGATCTGAGGGTACGATGCGAGGGAGGGTATGATGATACGTACGACGTGATGACGATGGGTACGATGGTGTGAGAGTGAGTAAGGTACGGTACGAGGGAGGGTGTGAAGATAGGTACGAGGGTAGTACGAGGATGAGCACGACGGTGCGGGAATGAGTAGGACGGTGTGAGGGTGAGTATGATGGGACTGTACTGTATTTGGTTCTCACCGGTGGGAATGCCTTTTTCGAACTATCAAATAACCAAATACCCAAACAAACAAATTTCAGGGAGCCAACCAAATGCCAGAAAAAGCATGGCAAGTGTTGTTATTTGATAATTTGATCACGTACCGGTGGGGATGCTCTAAGTGTGCCTAAAGTTTTTGCCGGGGCCGTGCCGAGAAAAGGGGGGGATATCTTGGGAAATATTTGTCGTAGTTGCGTTCTGTTTTCAGATTCTCAGTCTGTGTGGCACAGACGAACTACCCTTCTCAAGGGCTTTATTTTAGACAAGGGAATATTTGGGACAGTTTCCCGCCACTTATCTCGTAACCGAAACACCCTTTTCATCCCATACGTTGCAAACCCGGGCTCTCTGTATTAAAAGTCATGGATCTCATATGCAGATATCGTTGCTCTAGGAACAATATGTCCATCGCACTTACGGGCAGTCAGCAAACAATTTTCCAAACTGTCTCGAGACTGTCATGCCTCTGTCAATGCGGCGACAAGCCGCCTACCTCAAACGCCGAGCAGAGCGACTTGAAGTGCAAGCCGAGAAACGATTGCTGGCTGTCAAACTATTGCGTGAGGGATGTAGCATAAACACCCCCAGCGATAGGGGTGTATGCACAGTTCGACTGAGACGCTTGTAGATCGGGAAGACGGGGGTGAAGCGGGACACCAGCTAACGGCACCGGGCAGCGGGCCCGGGTAGCGTGGTAGAGCGGGAACGGGGAGGACGCCGGCACGCGCGGGCGGTTCAACGCCTCGACGCCCCGGCGCGGTACTGGGTAACGATCCAGTACCGACGGGCGGAGGCGAAGCCGGCTCGTGGGCGTACCGCGCGCGTCCTCAACCAGCGCTCGGTGCGGCTCTAAGGTAGTTAGCGAGCGCTACCTGAGAATAAGCGGGAAGTCGGACCTTGACGGTCGGTGGGTGAAAAGTTCCTGCTTGTCCTCCTCCACCGCCGCCGGTCCGCGCCATATTTAATGTACATAATAACCTATCATAATAGTACAGTTGTGGATGGGCCCTTCGGGACAGCCTTGCTGTCCATGATTATGAAACGATGGAAGGGCCTCTCGTAACGCAGTGGAGAGGATGGTTTGACTGAGCGATGAAAGGCGCGGTTATTCGGCACAATGCCGTCGAGGATACTCCCTTCCTCGAGTTTTACTCTCGCGAGGCTACCTTTAAGTATGTCTATTAGCCGACCCTTCGGGGTTGTGGCGTACGTCATACACGACCCATTACATTGTACCTTCGGCCGACAGTGGTGCGTGTAATACGCCACCTACACTCAACATCTGACGACCCAATTCACACTCCCCCCAGACGACCGTGTTACTCACCGAGTCGTCTATTTCCAATCTTTAGAATCGTGGTGGTGTCCAGTCTCGACGTCGATCTTCCAGAACCCGGTGGACAACATCTCACTGAGTTGTCGCCATAGCTCTGTGCTGCGTTTCGTGAGCGCGTCGGCGACGTTCTTCGTGCCAGGGATCCAACGAATCGAGTCTAACTCTTGCGATTCGAACGCGTTGCGAATACGGTTGACGGTCTTGCGTAGTCTGTATTCTTTGCACTCATGGAGCGTGGATATTGTGTCGAAGAGCGCTCGCGAATCGACAAGTATCTCATGCCTGATCGGTCTGTTCGGAAATAGGGAATGGAACGACCCTTTCATATCGAATCCTCTATCCTCAGCGTCGGCACAGGCGAGTATTTCTGCTCCGAAAGACGAATAGGTCACGCGCTTCTGTTTGTGGCTAGTCCAGGAGATGGGATGGAACAGTGGTTCGATCCGGTCAGGTGATTCAATCTTGAGGCCGCAGACGCCTCCGGTTTGGCCGTAGTCGAATTCATTTCCGCCATGGGCAGCATCCGATATACTCATGAGGGTAGCTTTGGATATATTAAACGGTTTGAGATACGTTATCTTCAACGGTAGTCTCATGATTTCGCGTAACATGATGTTTGCGTCCACGAGATGTTTAACCCGTAGGTCTCCGAGACGCTGCTGCATGCGTGAAGTGACAAGAGCTGCTTGGGGAACGATCGCTGTACCAAGGTACATGAGTGTTCCTGCGAGTGACCTATACTCCGCTTCCTCTCGAGTGTCTGCTTTGGCTTCCTGTTCTTGACGTCTCGCGCGGGAAACTTGTATGGGTTTCAGGCGGCATATGTAATTGTCCATCGAGAGGGTTACGTTCCCATGATAGTCGATCGTCACCTCACATCCGTTGAAATGGAAGTCCTGTCCGTTTCGGATCTTTCCGACTTCGAAGCTGGCGCAGAGTTTGTCCAGGAATTGCTTGATGTATTCGATGGTGCCAGAGACTAGGAAATCGTCCGTGACTTTGGCTATGAGTAGGATGATCTTATTCGTCTCATCCCTTTTGACGAAAAGCTGGTTGACCCCGAACACTCTTTCAATTCCGGCTTCTTCGACCATCCACGTCTCGATGGTGGTAAGCCATTGTCTACCTGCTTCGGCAATGCCGTATGCCAGTTTCAACAGTTTCCAGAGCATACCCCGGGTGGAATTCCACTCTTTCGGGGGTCTGACGAAGATGTCACGATTGGCTGGTCCGCTCTGCATGTACGCACCCTTGATGTCGGCCACGCCGAATGTGAATCCAAGTATTAGCCCCAGGCTGATCACCAGACGAAATAAAATCATGTCTGCTGCAGCTGAGTCTTTGCGGATGTCATCCTTCTCTTTGTCGCGGTTTCCATGCAATACGAAACGAGCCTTCATTTCGAGTCTGTTGTCTTCGTGACTCTTGATCTTGAAGAGGGTGTGTGAAGAGATGACATTGGCGCCGCGTGGCACGTGTGACTCAGGTACTTCTTTGTATGCGCCAATCCAATTGTTGTGATGTTCTCTTTCCATGGCGTTCTGGAGTACCCATGATGGTGCGAATTCCATTTCGCGTGTCGTTACTTGCTTGTTCCCAATCTTCTCATGTATCCTTCTCAGTACAATTTGCTCGTTGGATGTCAGGACATTAGTTGCATCTCTTCTGTAAGCCTTTTGTTCCGAGATGGAGGCAGCGTATGGCCCAATATCTCTAGAAGCTGGATCTGAGTACTCTCGTTGAGTGGCTAGCATTGCTCCAGTGTGGTGTGTTTCGTTTGGCACTTCGTTTCTCATCGGATGCGTCAGTTGTGTCTTGTGGTACAACTCCACACCGCGACCCCCGGTGGGAGATGAGAACCCCCGAGACGGGCGGTTACTACTGTAGTAATCGTGCACGCGCCCGCTGCGAGCACAGTAGTACCTCCACGGCGTACACGTGACACAACCGTTGGCGCCGGCCGTGGCCACGGGCACACGTGTGCGACCATCCGGTAAGTAATTAGCAATTAGTGGTTAATGGCACAAATTAGCCAATTTAGTACAGTAGCTGGTATACAGTATGTAACAGCTACTGTAGCGGGACAGGTGTCCTGGCGTCCCACTGAGGGGTTAAGACCAGGGGCACCTGCCCCGTTCCAGTAAACGGGGGCAGACTCGCCTCCCTTCCCTTTACGGCTTTTTGCTAACTCCGTCCGGTTTTACCTCTAAGTCTCAGGCTTCTAACCCGTGACCGGCCGTCCGGATCTGACACCACCGACCGGCTGCGCGTCACCGGCCACGTGAGCCTTCCCTCTTTTCGAGTCCTTCCGTACGGTTCGCGCTCGTGTGGGTTACCCAGCGTCGCGCGCTCCCTTACCTCTAACCCCCCTCGTTCCGAGTGGTCGGGACGAAGGTAGTTATACCACATGTCTCCCCCCCATGCGGTGACATAAGGTAGTCTTCTATTGTACTATCCATGAGTTCGTGTGTGAGTGCTTGATCTGGTCGCAGCCTGATGTCTTCGTAGGCGATTTTGCTTGCTGGTCCTCTCGTCGTTCCGACGCGTCGGGCTTCCACAAAGTGCGTGTTGACGGATATCACCTTGGCTTCCCTCCACTCGTCCGGTTCGTTATTCTTGGAGGAGCTGTAGTAGTACAGCACGATGTCGTCGGGTTTTATGGAGCTCGGCGGGACAAGGGATGGTGCGCGAGCATGAAGCAGTCGTTGTAGGGCACGTATTGCTACCTGTTCTTTGTGAGCGGACAGGAGTTCTGCGCTGACCATTCGTGGCGATGTCCCTAGTATTGATGGGGCGTATCCTCTCGCTAATTCGAACGAGCTGAGAATTCGGGTACCGGAGAAACAGTTGGAGAAAAATGTGGCTCTGGACAGAATTAATTTGTCGGGTTCGGAGGTCGGTTCTTTTGCTGTTTTTTCGAGAATGGTTTTCAGTGTCCGGTGTTTGCGTTCGACACGTCCCGTCTTGTTGTGCCTGCGTGCAGGTCTAGGGTCAAATCGGACATCACGTGCGCGGAGGAATGTTCGGATGTGTCTGCAATTCAGCTCGTCATCGGCGGATAATGATTTGGGAGCTCCGTGTCGATTGAACCATTCGGTTTCCAGCACCTGCGTAATGTTAGCGGCTTCGCGGTTGGACATAATTTGCGTTTCGGAGTATACCGTTCCTGTACAGATCATGTGTAGGACGGTATATTGGGTGCCGCGGATTGTGCAGAACGTGAAGTCTACTTGTACATCCTGGTTGAACGCTTCATTCACGTGCGTGATTGATATTTTCTTGGAGGGTGCTGGGAGACCTGATTTCGCACATATTCTACATGCTGCAGTTACATTTCGAATTGACCTTTCCAGGTCAGGGGTAAGCCAGTCGGCTGTTTTGCAGATGTGTATCAGTTCCTCGGCGGTCGCATGTGTGAGTCTATGCATCCGTTTCGCTGTAGTCATGGGTCGTGACGTGACGGAAACGGCATTTGTGGCCATCAAAGAGGACGTCAAATGAGCGATTGGAACGATGAGTATCCTCCCGCGAATCTGGAACTTGGATGCTCCGTCTACGAAGATAGACAGTACTCTGGGAGACTTATCTGTTGGACGTGCGATGGTCATGGTGGGATATTCTGACGAGAAGTTAAGCACGGAGTGTTGTGAGACATCCATGCCGATCGTGATAGGAGAGTCGTCCTGGACAAGGTCGAATGTGAGGGATGTAGTTTGGTCATTGAGATCTTGCAAATACAGAGTCCATGAACAGACAATATCTTCAGGGTTGGCGCACTCATGTCCCCAACCACGCCTGTACTGGTCCCTTGGCGGATCTAGGACGAACGGGATATCAAGTATGTCACAGAGTCGAGAAGCGGAATAAATTCCCCCGGTAGAGGTAGGATTACCTGGGTCGATGATAGGATTCGGATCAGTGGGAGAAGATGACGAACCCTTTACTGAAAATGCTGGTTGCCCGTGTTGTATCTAGGCTTGTCCTGATCGTCCTCGATCTCGTTTTGTTCAAAGCTAACCTGTTTTTTGCGTCTGAAATATTTATCGGGCATACGATTCTTCTTGATCGTCTCCCGCAGGTCTTTACCGTTTGACTCGGTGTCACTGTCTCCTTGATATTCTCTCTCCCTCTCCTCTTGTTGTTTGCGACTTCGCCAATGTCCACGTTTCCTTTTGGTGCCGTGGAACGGTGTCTTATGCCCGTAGATGCCCATCATGGCCGCCGTCGTCGGTTTCAGTTGTTCTTCCCCCTTTTTGCCGTCATCGAGGTCTTTCTCTTCTAGACCTGCCTCCTCTAAGGCTGTGATGGCGTCCTGTAATCCGATGAAATACGTCGTTTCACCGTCTGAATTCCCTCCTTTGCGCGCCAGAGTTGCGGCTTTGAGGGCACCCGTACATTCACCGATGTTGTCCTGGGCGCCGATTCGGTTGGTGTCCAGGATCTCTTTGTTGTCAATAGCGGACTGCATGCATTGGAGTAATCTTAAAACAATGGTGATCCTAGCCTCGGTAAGGGTGACTTCTGATGTAGGGGCTCCTGAACGATGTTTTGCGGTGCTGACTAATGAGCTCACCAGGTTGGTGAACGTCTGTGTGGACACCCTGGCGTTGACGAGCAGTACGATGGCAAAGTTCTGACTGTCAGCGCCATCTTGATTCGCGTTGACAAGGTTTAGGTATGCCTGCGCAGGTCCGCTGAAGCGTTCTACGTAGAAACTGATTGTCTCGTCCTTTTTTCTGACACATCCATGAATTTCTTTGTTGAGCCTGACCATTCTCTTGATAGTGTCGACGGCGGAGTCCTTCGCTACGATGTTGAGGATCTTCTCGAGAATTGCATTCTGGTCGATAGCTTGATTGCTGTCTTGTGGCACCAAGGAGAGCTCTCCGGTTCTCATAGCCTTTTTGACGAGTTCCTTCTTGTTGAATTCCAGGGAGCGGTAGAGCGTCAGACCGATTGAAGCGGCAGCTCCCTTTGCGCGATTATCACCGCCTTTGGCGCAGATCTGAAGATTGAGTGCCCAGTCGCGAACAGCTTCGCGCCACTGGAGCTTATCAGTCGTGGTCCTCAGCTTGGGAGGAACAAGGATACTGCTCGGAGCCAATTCATCCTCTGGGCCCATAACTGTGGATGGGCCCTTCGGGACAGCCTTGCTGTCCATGATTATGAAACGATGGAAGGGCCTCTCGTAACGCAGTGGAGAGGATGGTTTGACTGAGCGATGAAAGGCGCGGTTATTCGGCACAATGCCGTCGAGGATACTCCCTTCCTCGAGTTTTACTCTCGCGAGGCTACCTTTAAGTATGTCTATTAGCCGACCCTTCGGGGTTGTGGCGTACGTCATACACGACCCATTACATTGTACCTTCGGCCGACAGTGGTGCGTGTAATACGCCACCTACACTCAACATCTGACGACCCAATTCACAACAGTACCGATGTACTGTAGCGACGTACTGTAGCGGTCGGTCGACACTGTAATACTGTCAGCCATCGGGGCTGACAGTACACGTGTGTGCGCTCTTCGGTACCGCGCGTACACGTGTACACGTGCGCCCCTTGTACTTGGGGGTACACGTGGTGGTACTGTAGAGCATCGAGCCCTACAGTAACCGATCCGATTCTGAGTTGATCTAATCTAAAATAAAGCCCCAGGGGGGGTTATACTACAAGGGACAACCCATTCGAAGCACAGCGCGAGCGACAGATGTATCGCGAAGCACTGTTCAGAGACTGCGCCACTGTCTGGAAACAATGGACAAGAAACAGCTCTTGTACCTAACAAGCAACGCGGTCGCACCTGGACGCCCCAGAGTTATAAATTATGAGGAGGGTTCTCTTATTAATTCACGACTCAAACTTGCCTCTAGAAGAGGATTTGCTGTAGACAACCCTACGTTCAAACATGTTTTATCGCGTGTGGCAGCCGACGCGCGAAGAGGGTACAAGAATGGGGTTCCCAGTAATGAAACCGGTCGCACATACCGAGCACAGAATCCGGACATAACGTACAAACGGATGGAGAACAAATAGGACACAAAACTCGCAGCCGAATCGTATACACATATTGACACATTTTTCTCTACACTAGACGAAATGCAGCGCCAGCATCCAGGAATACTTTTGGATGCACACCGAGTGTGGAATCTAGATGAGACTGCAGTGGAGTGTACTCTTGGAAAATGGCACAAAGCGTTTACATCCAGCGAAACCAAGAACGGAGGACATCGAGGCGTCAAGTCAACATACGGAGCAAGTAAGCACATAACAGCAGTAATTGCTGCTTCCGTGGGAGGCGTATTGACTCCTCCTTTCTTTATCGTCTCAGGAAAGCGCAAAAATTCGGACTGGTACTCGCCTGTGACTGGCAGCTTGTCGAACACTCCCAACGGTATTATAAGACCTTATACTGAACCAAACTGGTTTCCTAACGATGGATGCATTAAGGTGACTCAGAATGGATCCATGGAGGGCCCTGTGCTGGCGGCCTTTGTTGAACATGTCCAGTACACTGCAGCCGAGAACCATGAAAAAGGCCAGTCTTTTCTGCTTTTTCTTGATGGCCATTCGTCTCGAAAACACCCGGCTTCGATAGATTTTTGTTCTCAAAACAATATGGAGGCTGTCATTAACACCGCCAACACCTCTCATATTCTCCAGCCTAGTGATCAACCGATCAACAAGCGATTCCATGAGCTCATGCGAGAAGTGAGAGATGAGTTCTATCGCCAAGGCAATGTCGACGCGACAAAGGTGAATTTCAACCTGGTGTGCGCTGTATATGCGTGAAAACGTATAGCACCCGAAATAGTACAAGCTTCATTCAAAGTAACGGGAACTTCTCCGTTTCAACGGAACTCCGCCGATAAATACAAATCGTTCAAAGATGAACAGAACAACAGGATTAAGAAGGCAGAAGAACGTCTTAGAAATGCGTCAGTAGCCTCGCGTCTTCCATCTGTTAGGAGTAGACGCAGTGATCAGCTTTTGTTCAACAATGCTATGACAATTATCTCAAGCAGTAAGGGTGTACCAACGAAGATAAAAGAGGTTCAAACAATATTGAAACAGGAGGAAACCGTCAACAGTATTCTGATGGACAAGATCAACGGTCAAAAGGGAAAACCCTGAACTTTCCGGGAAAAGAGCAAGTGAAAGAGCGCGTTCTATACGATGCTGGAGCCCCAGCAGAATGGGTGACGCATGGTGAGGAGCTTCGAAGGCGAAACGATGCGGAGGAAGAGAAGGTCCAAAATGAGCAGGAGCGTCTTGCAGAGAGAGCAAGGAAAGAGAAAGAGAGAAGTTTGGCCCGAGAGAAGGCTGAGGAAGCAGCTGAAGCTCGAGGGAAAGAACGGTAGGCGAAACGTCTTGAAAAGCTCGTTCAGCCTGAGAAGCGCCGCAAAAAGCTTTTGGAGCGTCGCAGTAAAAGAGAAAGGAATGCCGAAGAGAAGAAACGCGCTAAAAATCTACGGAGAGAAGCAAGACGTATAGCGCAGCATTTAGCAAAAGCACGAGTGCAGGACGCCACACAAGTCCCCAAAAATAGCAGCATACGCAAAAAACCCCATATCCTCGTTGCAGTTCGCGGCGGAGCTTGTTTTGGGAGCTGTTCAAGATGCCATTGAAGTTGGGAGCGAAACAGCTCGGGGGCCCAAATAACCCCCACACACACATGAAGGTACTCGTTGGTGACAGAAAGAGATCAGGACGTACAGTGAGAGTCCCCATTTGCCTGAGACGATGGCCAGCATACTGACGCAATCAAATTTTGAAGCTGATTCTTTCGAGAAGATTCGCAAATTGAAATGGGAAGCGTAAAGTGAATACTTCTTTAAATTATTGTTAGATGGCCCAAATATAGCCATTGAGAAGGGTACCCAGCAATGCATTTAATGTTTACTTAAAAATTGGGCCGATGGGACCCAATAAGCCCGAATGTCCTATAGTTTTTGCCACCACTGTAACAGTCCGGTAACTATTTTGGCAAATATAAACTATTTTGGCAACGCCTGCTACCCCTTTTTGCCGCACTTTTCCGAAACCGAGTCGAGTCACCCAGATCCGCCCCCGCCACTTGCTAACCTTGGTAGCTCTGTGACTGATTACAACCTGAGCGCCTTTTCTGTTTTTACCGCCATTCGAAAGCCCATTACTTTCGCTTGTCCGCCAAAACTCCAGGCTGTGCCATGCCATTACAACGTAATATGCTTTTCCATATCGATCGATAGTCGCCCATCATCGCCATTCCGGAAAAGTGCGGCAAAATGGGAAGCAGGCGTTGCCAAAATAGTTAACGGACTGTTAGAATAAAGAGTTTTTTTTCGGGCCACGGCCATTATTTGAGGTTGCCAAATTAGTTTCCATGCGATTCAGACCTGTAAAAGGGGTTCATTTAAGTGACTTCATTCCCTTGAATGAACACATGATGTGATTTCGTTAACGTTGTAAAGCTACTGTAGTGGCAGCTTCGCTCTGTACCACAGACCACAAATAAGGATTGGGGAACATGAGGCAGGTCTCCCCCAAATCTTGCCGTCCTCACTCACACGCAACTGCCGGTAGCGGCAGCACAACACAGCACAGTTAGTTCGACGCCGATTCAGCATTCCGACCTCACGGCGTAGCTCAGCACTGGAGAAATCTTTGCGAGGATACAAGTGCAGCTCTCCCGTAGCAAAGGCCGATTCCCTCTTTTCGCTTCTACTGCGATGCACCTGGAATGAAACCTCATAACTCCTTCTCTGAGTCGATATCGCAGTCCCGTCGAAGCATTGATAGTCTCGCCTCCACTAATGTCTTTAGTCAACCACAAGAACCAGTGGGCAACGCATCGAAGGTTCAACCACCCCGTTCACTAGCCGGATTCGCCTCGTTTCTCCTGGGATTCCATGATTCGGAGGTTGACGTTACACCAGATCTGGATGATGCATGGTCCGTGGCAACCAAGAGAAGAGGTGTTTACAATCTCTTTGCCGTTCCTGCTAAACTGGAAAGGTTGATAATACTTGGTCAGTTTATATGTATGGACGACTTCTTGACCTTATTCACATTCCTTCCCCTGAGGACCGGACTCTCAATTATCGTCATTCTTGTTGAGATGCTGTTGGCTCCGTTGCGCATGTGTTTCCAACGTAAACGGAAGGCAGCTAATGTCAACAAGAAACCTCATGCGGCCAGATTTATCGATATATTGCACATGTCCCTGCTGCTCATCACCGCAGGTGTCTTGAGTACTGTTGATGTCAGCTGGATTTATCACAACATTCGGGGCCAATCGGTTATCAAACTGTACGTTGTCTTCAACGTCATCGAGATCTTTGATCGCCTGGGGAGTTCTTTTGGGGTCGACATTTTAGACTCTCTTGGATGGACAGCTGCCTCCGCAGTTGCCTTCTTTTCTAGGGGGGCAATCGTACAAGGTTATGCAGCTGGCGGCACAGACGTCGCAAAAGCCCGCGCGGTACAAGGTTTGGCGTTGCTTACGAGAATGACTTTCGATTATTTGGCGACACTTGTTTACGTTGTAGTCCATGCCTTGCTCCTACTTACATGGGTTGTAACGCTCAACGTCGCCATCAACACCCAGAACAATGCGTTGCTTACGCTATTAGTGTCTAATAACTTCGTGGAACTGAAAGGTGCTGTTTTCAAGAGCTTCAAAGTGCAAAATTTGTTTCAAATATCTTGTTCTGATGCTGTCGAGCGCTTCCAACTCAACATATTTCTCTGTGTAATGCTATTGGTAACGAGTGGAGACAAACGCTTGTTCACCACTTGGGGTGTCATATATCTTTGCGAAGTTGTCGTAGATTGGATCAAACATGCTTTTGTGACGAAGTTCAATCGCATCCCGTACAGGGTCTATCATCATTTTTCTCTCGTTATTTGCGATGATATGGTTAAGACGCGCAAGCACTCCCTCGTGAGGAGCATAGGTGGGTCAGCTGTATCAAAACGCGTTGGCTTTGTCAGTCTCCCTCTAGCTGCCCTTGTCATCCGGATGGGTTTTGCTCCGGCCATGACCTTACCAACACCAGCACTATTTATGATATTTACATCTTTAGTAATGTTCAAAACGGCGTTGAGCATTGGCCTTATTGGTCATGCATATCGAAAGGTGAAGACTGTTGTTCCAAACGCATCTGAAATTGTCGGCGATGACGGGGACAGGGACCAGGACATTTACTGGCATCGAAAACTAATCAATATTGAACGTTATGACCTCATCGCTAAGAACTGACTTCTAAACATCGACAGAGGAAAAGCTGTTATTCCTTACAATGTCCAAACACGGCATCATGTGCGGTTGTTGCCAAACCGAATTCAGTACCCTCATACTTGATGTGATTCCTACTCCTTGCTGTCGTATCCCCTAGGCTTTTCTTATGTACCATAGTGCTCTTTCCTCCAACAAATGGGTGGCATGTAGTCGCTTCACGCAAAGCTTCCAGACGATCACCTAATCGATGCTCTCTGAGGCAAGATGCCGAGGTCCGGTCGGTTGGAGGCATCGGCTTGAAAATCGTCGTAGTGGGGCATTCATTAAAGACGACAGCCTACTTCTTCGTGGTCGCACGCACGTGCGCTGCGGTATCACGGAAACACTTTCAGTAATTCATGTATGTAGCTGCAGTTAAAAAATGGCTATCTACGTCGAGAGCAATATCCCCATAGTCATCTGCAACCGAGACTGGAACATGTAACACGAGGACCTTTGCCCTCTATCATGCACTGTAGAAAGTCAATATCCGTAACCGGCATTAAGGCCAAAGGATTCTCCGGCATGAGCAGAAACCACCTCTCTACATAAGTCTCATTAGGAGAATTGTTTGCACGTATGACTTCGTCAGAAATATGAAGCCTAACACATTTACTCACTTTCCTACAAATTTCCCGACCAAGGTATTTCATTTACGGCCTAACCATGCCCCAGACAAGAAGCACTGACTACAGAAATATATTGTCCCTACCGAAGGTTGTTTTCAATTCCTCATAGACTTTTAATGTCTTCTTTACGAACATGCTCCGATGAGACTCTTGAGCCAAGACTTAAGAATTCACACAAGTCTCGGAATAACGTGATGAATCTCTAAATTTTCTGCGGCACAACATCGAAAGGTACTTTTTTGCTGGAATTCACATATTCTCGCCCCCCCCCCCCCCCCCCCCCCCCCCCCCCCTGCTGCATTGAAACTACTGAGCATGACCCTCCATGTGCTCTCCGACGATTAAAAGTGACCAGAAAAAAGTGATCTAGCAGTATGTAGCGTTCGTTCAAATGTACCGGATCTTTGTCAATTCCTTATTGATTCGTGGACCTGGAGTGTGAAAAAAGCTATCCAGAAGAGTCCCCTTTACCGCACAAAGCATTTAGCAATTCCGTTGAGCTGCCCCTTTCAATGACATATTATGTTTTTCCCTGCCTCTTCAGTGATAGAGTTGCACATATCCCAGGGACTTGCGGTCGAAGAGCCGTTATCAGCTGTTGAGTAGTTAGAATTTGGCAGGGAAAAGGGCAGTATCGGGCTTTGCGGTCACTTCAATCAAATATCCATCGACTGGATGCCGGAGTGCAATCCTCTCAGCCCACAGACAAATACCACCAGTACCAAACATCGGATGCTCTTTTTTCGATCCGTAGGTGGTATCGAACAAAATTGGGTGCCCAAGCTCCTTCATATGAATACGCAACTGATGCCTTCTCCCAGATTTCGGGCTTAGCAAGACTTCTGTGCACTCCCTATGGTTCTCAACAACAACAATATGTGTCTCGGCGTCTCTACCGCCTATACTTCCTCGTGCAATCTTTTCAGAGAAGGGCAACTGTCCTTCCACGCGAGCTCGGTATGTCTTAGAAACCTCCCTTTTCGCAAATTGTGACGAAAAGGAGCGGATCGCCTTTTCTGTCAATGCGACGACTACTAAGCCCCCGGTAACCTTGTCCAAGCGATGAACGGCAACGGGACGGCGCAAGACAGGGCCTACCTCCTGTGTCGCTCCATCGTCTCGACGTCTGGTGTCACCGACGGCGAAAAATGTGGCCTCCCTAAACGCTTTTCCCATTTCGATGCCTGGGGGTTTTACAACAATAGCAAAATGCCTTTCAACGTCTAAATGCTTAACAAAGCCGTGTTGCTGGGCCAGCGAAGGAGGTTTGTTCGCGAAGCGTGAGCGAACAGATGCCATTTCAGTGCGAGCTGCACGAACAACTACATCGCCACCATGCGGCTGATAAAGGACAGTAGCTGGGTGCCATTTGTCCGAAGCCTTCGTGTAGAGTTCTCCACGGCGGACGATTCGTTTTGCTGCCGATATGGAAGGGAAGTAGTCTGAAAAGCATTCGTGTAAGACATGTGGGAGCCTTTCAGACCCTGTCATGGGTGGAATGATGGCCTGCCAAATTATCGTAGAATGCGATGGTAATTTGGGCTCTGTTGGGAGCAGGCTTGCTCTCAATCGTTGTTTGTTTGCCGATGCTTCGTGGCTTTTCTCAACGGGACCCTTGCGTGGGCACCTAATCTTCGATTCTCTCCGAGGAACATATGCAGAGAGACAAATCTGGAAAGCCATGGTCGTGACCAACTGCAGCTTGCGAGTTTTTAGAAGCACTGCCGAATAGTTTCAAGCGTCCTTTCAGACCGCAGTCGGAGAGTCGTAAAACATAGCGCGAGAGCGAAAATCAATGGATCAAAGCATCGGTGCTACGTACAGTAAGTTACAGTGTGGATTTTCTCTTTCCATTCGAATCCTTTGGCTCCAAATCCCTTTGTATGTCCGGTTTTGACACTTCACGGTGAAAACTCAGCTTGTCCTCAACGACATTTGTGGGGAAGCACTCAAGCTTTGTGCCCTTTGATCCCTTAAGGTCATGGGGGTTCATACTGTGCGGATCACAAATATGCCGACAATATTTTAGTCATAATAAAGTACTGTAAGACTTGCCGTGGCGACCAGATTTCCCCATTAGTGTAATGCCCAACTATCTACACCGGTGCTGAATGAAGGACGCATAAACCCCTTCACGCCTCTCGCAACCGCACCTCCTGACCCACTGCGGATCCGATCCGTCATGCGAGCGCACTCTGTCACAATGATGCGTTCTGCCGTTCGGATGTTCTCTTCCGCGGCAAAGTTTACTCCGCGCCCCAAATGGGAGCCTCCATCCGATCTCAAGTACTCTATACGTGAGATCGATCCTGCCATCATCCGACCGTCACAATGGTCTCCACCGATGGGCGGATACGAACACCTTCCATTTCGTGTTTTCCGTACTGTCAAGGGGAAGGCTCTGCCTGTATATACTGACTATCGCAATGGGCGTACTCGCTGCATGACCATTGTGCGGCGCTATCGTGGTGATGCAGAGGAATTGGCTCGGGAGATGTCGAAGGTGTGCGACGGCAGAGTCGTAACCATTCGCCCTGGTCGTGTAGAAGTGAAGGGCAATTACCGCGGCCGAATTGATGAGTGGCTAAAGCGCTTGGGTTTTTAACATGCCACTGCTTCTGGTTTACAACTTCGCTATTCGCCGCACTTCGGATTTCGCTAAACTCAGCATGTGCACCTCGTCAGGACCGTCTGCAATCCTAAGCGTGCGCATGTGTGCATACAGCCGAGCCAGCACGGTGTCTTGGCACACTCCCATCCCACCATGCGCTTGCACCGCTCGATCAAGCACGTTGGACACGAGTCGCGGTACCTCAATTTTTGCAATTCCCACTGCTCGTCGCGCTACAGTCACATCCCCAATGTCAACAGCCTTTGACCCTGCTAACGTCAGAAGGCGAGCTGCCTCGATGTCGCACCGACTTTGCCCAATTTCCCGAAGCATTCCATCTTTCTGGGATAGCGGTCGCCCGAACGCAGTTCGAGATTCCGCTCGTCGCACCATGAGCTCCAGAGCACGCTCTGCACTCCCAATTGCGCGCATGCAATGATGCAAACGACCACCCCCGAGTCGGCTTTGCGCAGCTTCAAAACCACCACCCTCGACGTGTAGAAGGGCGTCGCAGGCGTCGACGGTCACGTTTTGAAATTCTATCTCTGCATGTCCATGTGGTGCGTCATCGTATCCGAAAACTGTCAAGTGTCGCAAAATCCGTACACCGGGCGTGTGCATTGGAATGAGAACTATTGTATGCTGTCTGTGCTTACTTGGTTGCAACGCTGGCTTCTCGTTTCCCGGTCCGCGACCAATTAATAAAATTAGATCGCACCTCGGATCCATTGCACCGCTAGTCCACCACTTCCGGCCATTGATAACATATTTATCACCTATTCGCTGGATTTTCGTGCTCAGATTGGTGGCATCGGATGAAGCAACTTCTGGTTCGGTCATGGCAAAGCAAGAGCGCATTTTTCCATCCAATAATGGCTCTAACCATCTTTCCCTTTGGGCAGGAGTACCGTAGCGTGCAAGCAATTCCATGTTTCCTGGTGGTGGGATTGCCAAGGGGAAAAACGTTAGAAACGAGGAAGTCCATTACGGTTGTATTCCTGCGACATAAATCATGATTTCTTACCTGTATCGGGGGCTGAGCAGTTAAATACTTCTGCTCCAAACTCATATCGACCCATCACTTCCGCTAGTGCGGCGTATTCTTCACTTTTTAATGTACCACCCAATTCTTTTGGAAGGAACAGGTTCCAAAGCCCGCTCTCCTTTGCAGTTCTTTTCAACTCCTCCATCTCAGGCCACGCACTCCACCTTGCCTCGGATTGAATATGTTCATAATATCGTTCCTCAGCAGGCCTGATGTATTGGTCCACGAAAGCGACTAATGCGTTCTTCAAACCAATTCGGGCAGAAGTTCCCCGTCCTGCGTCACGTAAAGTTTCTACGGATGCATTGACAAACAAAATAGCCAGACTTCCTGCCTCTGCACTGAGGGCAGAAGATGCATTGCCCTGCCTTGAACGAGAGTGCACCCCGTAAAGAATAGCCGCGAACCGGAAGAATGCGACAGCAATGTATGTTTGAAAGCTATCTGCAAACGAGCCCTTATCGATGCTCGTCTCTGAAATGTAAACATGCAGCAGAGACTCTTCCGTTGGAACGCCTTTGGGCATAGGGTTTGCAAACGACACGCTTCTCATTAATTGAAACTTCGATGTATCTGGCGGCATGTGGAACGGACTGAGAAAGCTTGCAAGGTCAGCCATAGGATTTCCAAGAGACACAAGCTCCCAGTCAAGAACAGCTACACACTTCGGCTCTGTCGAATGGAAAATGAGGTTGTCTATCCGAAAGTCACCATGAACTAGGCGGCGCTCTTCAGCAGACTCTTTAGGATTAGAGAAATTCTGTCGTAAGGTGCGTAGTTGCTTGTGCAAACCCTCCATGCGTGTATAGTCAACACCCGGAAGTCTGCTTGCTCGGAATTGTCGATACCATGTTGATATTTGTCTGTCAACCCACGGCTCTCCTGATTTGCTCAAGCTGCTCAGTCCCAATTTGAATGTATCCAACTGGCCTATCTTTATGAGGACGCGAAGGGCTTCCTGAAACACCTGATAACGTTCTGTAGTGTCTGTGATTTCTGGAAGCGAAACGTCTTTGAAGACTCGGCCCTCTACATATTCCATTGCGTAAAAACGGCTTCCTATAACTTTTGGGTCTTCGCAGTATTGATAAACCTTGGGCACTGGAACGGGGGTACCTTGCAAAGAGGACAAAACACGAAATTCACGGTCGATGCGGTGAGCCCCGGGTAACAGGTTTCCCCGAGGTTGAGCTCTCACGACAAAGCGGGTACAGATTTTAGAAACTGTATCGAAAGTGACGGCGACATTGTATGTCGGGTTCGACTGGCCATGAGCGAATTTTGCGACAGAAACAGACGAGTTGCTTTCGTTATGTCCAGCATCTGAAATGAGGCGGACACCACCTCCACATGCCCAGTGCAATAGAGCGGCGCACTCATGTGGGGATAATGACGAATGCGAGGACAAAGACTGTGCAACCATGCTTAGCAAATCTAGCTTTGTTCTCACTGCTTCTTCCTTTGCCAAAAGGCGGCACTTCTGGAGCCTAGAAATGGTCGCGAGTCTCTGGAACGATTTCTTCTGGCAGGCCACACAAAAAAACCCTTACCTTTGCGGCAACAACCGAATGAGATGGTGTCTCAATTAGCCGCTTTCCCTTGCAAGACAACAGGAAGCCTATATGTTCGCATCCCCTTTTCATAGAAGGATTTGGGATCGAGTACCAGCCATCAAATATGTCGAAAGAATCAGATTGACATCTGAATCCATTCCGACTTCGGGGCCAATGAGACTATTGAGAAGTTGTTTCCGAAATCATTATTTGGCAATTATTGCCCATTGGGTAGAGCTCCTGAAACACGTGTTAAACTGTTCAACGATATCCCTAGACTAGAGTAGACCATTCACGCAAATTCTCTCGGACAGCCCAAAGTGTCGGAATTTGCCGGGGGAGCGGGCGGGTGATCTGAAACGTGAACAGGTGGCGCGGGCCACTGAGGCTCTGTGCGCAAAGGGGGAAGCACAGGCCGGGGCGGCGCGGGGTGCGGGAGGGGGACAAGGACTCCTGAAGCGTTCGTTGGGTTCGGTTTGTTTGTGTGTGAGTTTTTGTGTGTGTGTGGACGAAGACGTTCACCGTCTTCGTCCTCCACCTTTATACTCCCACTCAACGCCAAGTCGAGTGGACTAAAATGTACTCACCCCCCTTTTTAGTGGGGTGCTACCTACAAATGCGCCTCTATCAGGCTTAATTAGGCGTTTGCCCGTTTAGGTAATGAGTATCCTTTAGGAGGATCCTCAAGTTGTAGGTAGTTGATTTGTCTACGTGAGGTAGTGCCACCCACTAGGGATAGGTGGCACAACCTTAAGGATTACGATTGTGATAGACACTGATAAAAGTTGTGACACTCCTCTTAAGAATAAAGTGGGCACCTTTGGGTGCCTCACGACTTGTCGATCCACTGTTCGATAGGGTGACGTAGTGTTGAATCTGTCAGTATTTGATCTAGAACAGTGCATCGCTTAACCATTGTGAGGGCGTCAGCAGGATTGTTCTCGGAACGGACGAAACCAATATTCCGTAGTTCGTTCCGTTGATATGAATCTTTAACCACCTTGATGTCGATCATTAATCGTTTTCTGTGGTAATTGATGACTTTTTTATCACGTCGAAGAGCGATAAGCTGTCTGTGAGCATCGAAATAGGAATTTGTTGGTTGTTCATTATCTCCATGTCCTTTTTGATGGCAAAAGTCATGTCGAAGGCGTCGGCGAAGGCCATAGTCTCGCTTCTTAGGACTGATCTAGAAACTCTTTTGGACTTGTGTGATGACCAGTACAACGGCTGGCACTTGTTTTCCTTGTCAGCCAGGAACACGATGTACCCAAGTTGGGACGTTCTGTCATAGTTGTTGCTGTAGGCAGCATCCGAATACGCTTGCAGTCGGAGAGAGTCTTTGTCTAACTTTGGATGGAGAAGTCTCTGTTCGGAGGTTTTTCTAATATGACGAACAACGGAGTTGAGAAGCTTTCTGTGGGTTTACGGATCTGAGTTAAACCTTGTTTCGGTGACTTGCGTTGATTGAGCGACAGAACATGCTATATCAGGTCTGGTTTGTAGGAGCCACATTAGCTTCGCTCGAAGAGAGCTATACTGCGCAAAGGTGACATCCTTAGGTAGAGAATCAATAGTCTTGATGTAGCGTTCTTGATGGATACATAATCCGTTGCTGGTTGTCTCAATATTGACACCGCTAAACTGTATCCTGTCAAATTCTCTATCTCTACACTCAAACCTTTTCTCAATACTTTGACTTAGCTTTAAATACTTTGCGTCTGCGGCATGTAGACAGTCGTCGACATGCGTAGCACATAGACCGGCGAGCTGATTCGCAACGTTCTTGAAAAAGAGTGCACCATCTGTGGGTGGTACTTGCACTCATTCCAACGTCTTTCAAAATGTGGTCTCTTAAGGTCCTTCCCGAGTAATCTCCACTATCTGCGAGGCCACATAGTGGTTTTAACAGCTTGAGCAGTGGATTGGGACCAAGTTCAAATTCTGCTGACGGCTTAATGTACACATCTCTCATTAGCTTCTCTGCACTTTGAAGATAAGCCTGCGTAACGTCAGTTGAGAATAGTCGGAAGTCAAATACTGCTGCTAACCCTATTAATATTTTGACTGAAAACTGTCTGGCCGTAGGATTATCGTGAACTAAAGAAGATTTCAGCTTGTCAGCGTAACCTTGAACAAAAGAGCGAGCCTTGTAGACTTCTTTGTTCGTACCGGAGTCCTTGATTGTTAAGACGAAGCGGCCTTCCATAATGTTAGCATTACGTGGTACTTCATCATTAGTAACAATTTTCCAGGTCTCCCTCTTGATGAGTCCTTCTATCTCCTTCTTTTTAGCTGCAGAGAACTGGCGTGCTCTAGGGTCACTAGGTTTGATTTCTTCAGTGATAAAGGAAGAGAAGGGAGTCTTTGGAGCAAGGGGAGAACGGAATATTCTTGTTTGATAGTGGGTAATCGGACTGTGATCTCGGTAATATGGTTTGAGTTGGAAGGCGTTGAACATTTGCCTGTATGTTCCTTCCCTGTTCTGAATAGTTATCATTCTTCCTTGAACATGCATAACTATAAATGGTCCTAACCAGTTCTTATCCTGTTCACTAAAGACTAGTACTTCGTCCCCCTAGTTGATATGTCCTATCGGCTGCTGGAGGTATCTGTCTTGTTAATGCTGCTTGTATTCTTCTTTCGGCTATGATTGCATTCATTTCCATCTGAGCAGACGTCAGTAGTCTCATTCGTTCTTCTTGTGTTGGAAGCTCAGTGCTGATGATGGGAAAACGAGGAGTTATCCCGAAGGCGAGAAATGAGGGTACAAGCCCTTTTTCTCCGATTGTGTCGTCCATAGCTTTTACCGCTATGCTGAGAAGAATTTTATTGTGTGCTTGGGGGTAGTCAGCTCGCACTTTTCTGTAAATTCTTCTCAGAGGTTCGTGGAGTCGCTCTCCGATTCCAAGGGAGCTGTGAGCTTTGACTCCGGGAATTCTGAGCTGAATGCCGGCATGGTCAGTGAGTTGGCGCCAGCGATCAGAAGTAAAGGATGATCCTTGGTCAACTCGGAGACGGTTTGGGTAACCGGTGTACATGGTACATCACATTTGAATGAAGGCTAACCAAATACCTTCAACACTTTGGTCGAAGTCTTCATCGAGGAAGGCAGCAGCTGAGAAACGAGTGGCCGTGTCGACGATGTGGAGTAAGGCCTTTCCGTCTAGGAACATGAGGTCCATGGATAGTTCTTCCCCAAACTTAACGGAATCCTCCGTTGGAAGGGAGGCCTTGAAACGAATGGGGGTTGGTCCCAAGCGCTGACAAGTGTCACATGCTTGTTTAATCTGATCCAGGACCTGTTTGGTTTCCTGGTTCGTTTCGTAAGTTCGAGCCATGCGGAGCAGGTTGTAGAGTTTATCCGTGGCAGGATGGGAGAATCCTCTATGAAGGCGCAAGAGTTCTGGAGAAGAAAAGAATATGTGCTCACGTTTTGGCCATTCGAGATATACATGGCTGTTCTTGCGAAGCAGAGGAGTTCGTAGTTGCAGTTGAGGACAATGAAGGTGATTCGTGATAGTGTTGACGAATATTCCGTACTTATCCAGTAGATCTAAGCCTATTAGTAGTGGTACGTCTGAGTTAACTACATCTACTTGTTCCATGGTAGCGTGGGCGTCCGAAAGTGGTATCGTAGTGGTCAAAGAGCCTAACGAGGTTTGACGGTCGTTGCCAAAGCCATAGCGGTTGTTGTTGGAAACGAGTCCAAACTTTTTGCCAGTGTAACGACAATATGCCTTAGCCTGTCTTAAGCCGACTACTGTGCGTTGTGCACCAGTGTCAAGACATGCTCCTTGCCAAGGCATCCTTTGAGTTGAAGCAATGTGGCTCTGGTTGTAGACAACGAATTCGTGGTGACGTGGTCTTCTCTCTCTGTGGCGTGGAAAACGAATAAGGCGACTTATCGCAGAACGACGTTCAAGTTTAAACTTGCATCTCTTTTTAGCACGGACAGTTTCAAAATATACAGTTTGAGGTGTATTATCTTGGAGATGGGAACTGTCGCTCGCTAAAAATCCGATGGATCTATAGTCCGATGAGAATTGGTCTTGTAGCCGTAAAAAGATTCGTTTTTCACGTGGTTGTTTACTGCTTCTTCTGTCTCGTTGGTGTCACTGTCAGTCACGCTGTCAGAGCCATCTGAGTGTTGTGACTCAGAACTGTTTCGGGCATTTGATTCTTCGAAGTCTTCGAAAAAAGTGTCATTATGGTGCATGATGTCTTCCACTTGATTACTAAGTTCATACAGTATGTCCTTGACGTGGTTAGGGCGCGCCTTGATCATGCGTCGTACATTGCGTATGACAGAGGCGGGTTTAGGGCATTCTCGGATGAAGTGATACTTACCACCACAGTTGTAGCAGCATCGTACGTTCCCAAAACGGTCCTTTCCGTTTATAGCATCCTTAAAACGTTTGGACGGTCCAGATAAGTTGCCACGAAGAAATGACGAGGAGGATCCAGGTCGACGGGGTATACCGTATGTATTTTGTCTTTGGAAATATATGCCGGGGAGGGTTGGCATCATTGACGGCGTTCTGGGGGGTCACGCTTACGGTTTTCGTTCTGTTTCTGCTCTTGGAGCCAAGCTGCATCAAGTGTAGTATACATCTGCTGAAAAGTCCAAGGCGGCGTGGAAGAAAGGCTTTGAGTCAGAACAGGCTTAGCCCATTCTGTTCCTATCACGGCGTGGTGAAGGTACTCTGTCTTATCGGGATCTGATCGATGCGTTTGGGGCTCTTGTGGTGTGTACCGAGTGATGGTTTCACAAAATTCTTCTAGTGCTTCGCTGACGGAGCAGTTTTTTGTCTTGAGAATCTGTGACAGGCGAAGATTCTGCAATAACTTTCGAACTCTGTTCTGCCGCGTAATGCTGTTGAACTCTTGAAGCATCCGTTCGACCGCGGAGTCGAAGGATGCTTGGGTACCAGAAATGGAGGTGCGATAGAATCTTTTAGCTTCGCCATCAAACACATTGTGAAAGTATCGCAGCTTCTGCTCTTTGTTGAGGTTATAATCATCAGCGGCGTCGCAATAGTTATCGATTACCTTGTTGATATCTTCACCTATTTTTCCCGAATAGCGTTCCTCTCTTTTGAATCGAGAAGCAATGTTATGCGCTATCTTCGAGTCCATGCTAAGATGAGAGGTGGGT